CCCCCTTTGTTCTCCCCTGCCCTACCTACAACCCTCCTACCCCACACTTCCCTCTGCCCTGCCTGTAATTCCCCCACCTGTACCTCCCATGCCCCACATGCACCCCCTCACAAACCCTCAAAACCCACAACTGCCTGCCAGAGAGATGGGGCTGCTCCCTGTATCCCAGGCCTTCGGCGCCCACCACCAGTGTGTGCCCATGCTGGGCCCACTGACCCGCCCCCCCCACAACCCTGAGAAGCTGCCCCAGATCCCGCAAGGGCAGAGAGCAACACAGACTTACTGTCTGATCCTCCATGTGAATGGGCTCCTGACTGCGCGTCAGAGCCAGCGAGTGGCACACGCAGCCCTGGGTGCTCTCCCCTTCCCCCGCCTTCCCGTTGTGGGTGGTTTCAGAGAGTCTGGGCACAGGGAGAGAGGGACGGGAGGAATGTGAGGCAGCAGCCTCAGCCCAGGGGGTGGGGCCTGGGGCATTAAGGTGTCAGTGAAAAGGAGCAAGAGTTCAGTGGGGTTTTTACTGAAGGCTCAGTGGGTCTTCGTGTGGAGGGCCAGGCAGCGGCGGGCAGGAGGGACCCAGTCTGCCTGGCACCACTGGTGAAATGGTGCAGTCACTGCAGGGACTGCAGTAGCACGTGCAGGGCACTGCCCAGACCCAGACGGTCCCTGCCCCAAGGAGCCCAGAAATCCAGGGCAATAGCCCCGGCGGAGATCAGGGGGGCACGGCCTAGGGACAAGGCGACCGGGGGCAGGGCTGGGGAAGGGGGCTCCTTACCGGAGGTAGAAGACTGACTTGGTGGATCGCTCCTGGTAGACAAACATGTTCTTCCTGTTCACCACACAGAAAGCATTGAGCACCGAGCGTAGCGCCTGGATAGCTGTGGAGACACGGGACACTGAGCTCTGTTCTGCAGCCCACTGCCCCACTGAGCTCTCTGCCCCCCAGTGCAGACATGGGGCCTAGGCAGGCACCGCTCAGACCCCCGCCTGCTGGATGCCTGGGAAAGGCAGGGCCCGCCCGCCCGCATCAGCAGGGCAGTCAGTCGACCCCGACGGTACGCACCTCGCGAGACCCCCATATTGGGCCCCATCTTGAGACGGGAGTGCACGTGGATGAGGGTGCTCCACACCACGGGGCAGGCGAAGTGACCTGGCATGAACTGCATGGTGGCTGCCAGGTAGTCGCGGGGCTGGTAGCTTTCCTCAGTGGAGTAATCTGCAGGGCAGAGAGTGGGTCATGTGGGCATGGCACCCCGGTCACGCCAGCATAGCACCCGGTCATGCCGGGGCTGCAGGCAGCTCCCCGCCTGGCAGTAGGGGGGGGGGGAGGAGAGAGAGAGAGAGCACAGCTTACCATCGGTGGGCTGGGCGCGCTGCCGATAGGAGTTGTAGGGAGTCTCGCTCTTCCAGATGTCCTCCTCGCTCTCCGCCACCAGCAGCGTGTTGCAGACGTGGCTGTCGTGCAGGTCCTGCAGCAGCAAGCGCTGCAACAGACACAGGGGGGGGGCTCAGGCCGGCTCCCCACGGCCCAGGCCCCAGGGCGAGCGAGGCTGGAACCCAGGGCCCAGGCAGAACAAGGGCTGCAAGAGCCCTCGCATTGGTGCTACAGAGGGAACTGGGGGCTGGGCTGAGCCCAGGAACCCCTGTTCCTTCGAGAGCCAGGCTGAGCCACATTACCAGCCACATTACCTGGTTAACGACCCTGCAGATCTCGCCAATCTTCCTCACCACGGTCTGGTGGAGACGCAGACACTCCCCGGCCGGCTCCTTCCCGGCCTCAGCCATCGCCACCTGCTCTGCACTCAGGCTGCTTCGTGGGGATGAGAGAGGGAGGTCAGCAGGCCTATGGGCTGCAGGCTATGGGGCCCAGCGCCGGGCACAGTACCTGGGAGCCCCAGCCACACTGGGGAGCTCCTTGGCAGCTGGCAGAAAGGGCTAGTCTCCCAGTGGGCAGGAGGGGTGGAGAAGAGTGGGGTGATGCATGGAAGGGAAGGAGAGCCAGTCAGGACCCCAAGCCTGGACAATGGAGAGAAGAAGCAGCCAGAGTGGCTGGCAGGACAACAGAGGGAGAGACAATGAGTCACTCCTTGGCAGGGAGATGGGAACTGGGGCGGTGAGAGCAGAGACCCAGGACTGGAGTGCAGGGCTGGGGGTGAGAGCAGTCACATGGGGGTCCTGGAGAGAAGGGCAGGCAAGGGGCTCTCAGACCCTGCGGGAGCAGGCTTGGGGCAGGTATGCTGCAGCGGGATCGAGGACTCGTACCCCGCGGCCCCGACTGCAGGCGAAGATGCAGGGGGACTCCGTCTGCTGTGGGAAGGATCAGCAGAGGGGAGCCAGTGGAGAGGGGCTGGAAGCTTCAGAGAGGGAGCAGCAGAGGTGCTAGCAAGGAAGGCTGGGTGCCTGCCCCAATCCCCCTGGCCACGGCCATGGCTGGGGGAAGCTGGGAGGGCAGAGCGACAGAAAGCCCCACCCAGCTCAGGTCACAGAGATTGGCAGCATTAGCCCAGGTTGCCCTGCCAAGCTTAAGAACAAACCTCCCAGCTGTTTGTCTGAGATCGTGAGCGTTGTGACGGGGCTGTGCTGTCCTGGGGC